TTCGATAGAATTTTCAATGGAATCACGGCGATTGACACATCAATCTCAAATTCATTGAAAACATCCCTTTTTTCAAACGAGTATGTCATTTNCCGTTTTCGGGGAGATGTTCCCGGACCCGGCAGGACCAGACGCCGCCTACGATGGGCTGGGCGTTTGCGCGTAATGGGCATTACCCGAATCGTAGTAAGCCAACTTACCCAAACCCACATAACTTGCCTAACCCAACATGAAACATATCAAACATAAAGAATACACTTATGCATGGAGAGAAACCATCGATATTTGAGTCTCCAGCAAATAAATAATAAGAAATGGTGAGTAGAAAAATTGCAAAAATCTAATACAGGATAAAGGATTAAGTCTTGGAGCGTTGATCAATCCCGTCTAAGGGATGCGCCCAAGCACTCGACTTCCATTCAGAATCGTAGTGGTGTATTGAATGCGTATGTGACCTGTACAATGAATTGCGGTGGCCAGCCGATTTGTAAGCCAGTGCTGTTATCCTTCCAGACGAGTCTGGTACCAATAAGTCCCCGGAGGGATGGAAGGCTTGGTTGGCTTATGATATCGATACCGTTACCGAAACCATGACCATGCATGTGTGACAGTGCGCCACTTGCCAGTACACCACGTCCTCCTGTCTAGTATTATATGCAACTATAATGAAGCACTCACTGCATCTTGATTCCAATGCTAAACACCTTGTCTAGACAGTTATTATGGGCACAAAGTAAAGGGTCATAAAGATCCTATGGGTAGTAATAAGACTAAACAGGTTTCAATAAAGGATGCAACTTCAGAAATCATAGAAACTCATTGCCTTTCTCGGAAAAAAAAGTATTTCGGCCATTGCTGCTAAACGACTGCCTATTATTGAATTGTATGGAAATAAAAACATTTTAAGAGATACACTAAACATGAGAACTTTTCAGCGAATACCATTTTTCATACTTGTCGCTCCTCTATGATCGAGAGGCTCTCGTCAGGAAAGTGCAAAATGGATTGAATCAACTGTGGGACTGTTATTGGCCAATTACTACTCGACATAGCTATAAAATTATTACATATGAAACCATATTTCGATAGAATTTTCAATGGAATCACGGCGATTGACACGTCAATCTCAAATTTATTGAAAACATCCCTTTTTTCAAACGAGTATGTCATTTCCAGTTAGATTCTGATTATGGACGTGCTTCTCAAGCAAAGCATCAACAAACTGAAAGATGGTGTGCAATTTAGTGAACAAACAGTAGAAATTTCCCACATGGTCAGGAAATTCCGAAATGGAGGTGGGCAAAAACAGAAGAGTGTTGTGTAGTTGAATCGGTTGAGGTCTAACTCTTACCGCTGGGAATCCTGACTGGATAGACACTTGAAAACGGTGGAAACAAGCTTCTCCAACGTCTTTGAGAGCAATTGCCAGTTGGAGTAATCTTCTGTTTTGTGGGTCGAATTTTTCCCAATTTATTCCACTAATTTTTCTCACTTCGAAGCTACTTGTTCAGATCGTGTCCTAAGAAATGTTTCTTTTCCTCACTCTTCGCCCACTGTTCCCTTTCCCGTATGTGATAGTCCCAAGGACGACGCTTTGAACGGGCCGACTAGGCAAAATTTTCACAAGCTCGGGTGAAAACCTGCAGTGAGCCAGCGAAGAAAACTAGGATGGTTGACTCTGGAAGATCCAACTATCCGTCTCCTGAAGCCTTCGGCCTCACATGTGCGATCCATGGAGTAAATCCCATTCAGGGAGAGTATTCGGTTCCTCTCTTACACCTGATGCGTACCTGACCACAGCTTCAACATCAATAATCAGAAAGGATACAAGGTTGTAGTTCAGGATAGAAGTGATAGATAATTAGTGATAAGATGACGAAATCTGCTGACCTAGTGTAGTGAGAAGGGCATGAGCTGGATCAGCGGGAGTGGAGAATGAAGCGCTTCTCATGGTCGCATATGTCAGAAGCATGGGTCGATGAAGTGGGAATAGTCTCATCAGAATGATTCATGTGCCATTGTATGATGAACAATAGTGACTGATAAAGTGAATGAAACTGATGTGAACCAGTTTATCGATTGACTGTAAACACGTCCAGTCTTTTCAAAACAACCACCAACGTTATGTACTCACTATACT